CCCCCCCCCCTTAAGGGCTGATGGACACTAATGGGCGTAGGGATCAAAGCCTTACTAAGAAACTCCCAGACTCGCCTAGCAGGCCTCTAGGTTCAACACATGGTCCCCCAAACAAACACAAAACCTTCTTGTCCTGGAGAAAGTGGCCTGATAAGCCGGGTGTTTATGGGCCCCACCCACGCCTGGCTTTGCCTGGGCGGAGCAGATCATTCCCAGAACGGGAGGAGACCATGTCAAACACAGAGCAGATGCTGTCCTGAGTAGTGCTCACTTGGCCCCGAGATCAAAGCACTGAACAACAGAAGGAGTGTGTGGGACCAAACAACAGAAGGAGTGTGTGGGCATCAAGCAGGGTGGAGTGGAAATACAAATTACTGCTGGCCACAGGCCACCAAACCCCGCCGGGGCATAAACCTGGGTCCCTAAGCCCTGAGGGCCTAGTCACTGCTGGAGAGCCAAGAGCAAGACAAGAGCAGACGCAGGCTGGCTGCTCAGTAGCAGAGTCTTGTTGCTCCTGGGAAAGGAAACGTGCTCTCCTGCGGCTAAAGAAACTCTCACCCGGTGTGGAACTGGCACCTGGCACCACGCGACCCGGATCCCGGTTGGCCTGTGTAGCGCCTATCACAACAGGACAGTCTGGGTCTGGGCAGAACCTGGCATGCTGGGCCTAAATTTCAGTTGGTGCCAGCCCCTCATGCTATCTGGGCTCAGTGAACATGGATCCTATCCAGTCTGTATGTAGGGTCCTACCAAATTCACAGCCCATGAAAAACATGTCATGGCCCATGAAATCTGGTTTCACCCTAGAGGCTTTTGTCTGCTTTTCCTCTGCTCTGTTCAGTTGACACAGGTAAGACCAGCAGTTCTCAAATTGGGAGTCTTGACCCAAAAGGGAGTTGCAGGGGATTATGTTAGGGGCTCATAGTATTGGCACCCGTTCTGCACCGACTTTAGTGCTGGGCAGCTAGAGAGCAGTGGCTATTGGCCGGGTCCCAGCTCTGTAGACAGCATCCTGCTGGCAGTAGCACAGAAGCAAGGGTGTTGATGCCTTACCATTCCACCCTTATTTCTGCACGGCTGCCGCCAGAGCTGGGCAGCTGCTTACCAACAACTGCTGACTGAGGGCCCAGCTCTGCAGGCAGCAGCACAGAAGTAAGGATGGCAAATCCACAGCAGGCAAATCTACAGCAGGCCATCCTGAGAGCTGTGCTGAGAGCTGTGCCGTGACTGGCGGAAGCTCTGCTTTGAGAACAGAAGTCCTGGCCAGCTGCCACCGCTCCACAACTACCCTTCTCCTGGCTACCCTTCTCCTCCCCTGCCCTTCTCCGCGCCCACCCTTCTGCTCATCTACCCCACTCTTCTGCTCATCGCGCCCACTCTTCTCCTGGCTACCCTCCTCTTCAACTGCCTTTGTCCACACCCATCCTTCTGCTCATCCACCCTTCTCCATGCCTGCCCTTCTCCTGGACACACTTCTCCGCGCCTGCCCTTCTCCTCTCTCGCCCTTCTTCTGGTAGTGCATCTACACTACCAGCCTTTATTTTGAAATAATGTCAAGCTAGAGGACTTCTTACTCCTACTCCTACGATCCTCATTTTATGAGGAGTAAGGGAAGTTGGGGGAAGAGTGCTCTTCCTTCGACATCCTGCTGCATAGACAGCACCCAAAGCTGAGTTACGCTATTTTGACGTAAGCTACACAGTTGATGTAGCTGAGTTGCGTAGCTTAATTTGACTTTAGCCCTGCTGTCTAGACTTATCCTAGGATTCTCTGCTGCTGCCTCTGGGCAATGGCAGGGGCATTTGTTGTGGCAGGTGGGGTTTGGATGGGGGGGTTACCTTAGGTTGGGGACAATTGGTTTCCTGTGTCTGGAAGCCCCAGTGATGGCAGACTGACTGCTTTCCTTTCTGGTTGGGGGCTTCAAACCCCGTACTTCCTTGTTGTTTTTAAATCAGAGTTGGGTTTAGGTTTATTTCAAATCTTCTTTTCTCTCAACCTGGGTGGCTTGGGCATTCGCTCATGCAGCTGGGCCCTTGAATCAACATGTAACCCCTCTGGACCCAACTGGGGACAGCAGCAGCCAGGATCAGGATCAATATCTGGGGGTTCTTTTCCATCAGTCCAACACCGAACCGGCTCGAGCCCTAAACCCGTGTCCTGGGGAATTCACAACACCACTCTTGGGCGCCTCTGAGAGGCAATGCTCCCCCACTCACAGCCACAGAGACTGAGTGTGGCAATGACGTGTTTAATGAAAGGGGAGGGAAGTAACTTGTCATTAATTTGGGAAAACACCCCAGACAGGGTTCAGAAACATGATCCACGAGTAACAGTCCAAGCCCATGCTGGCCCTTCATTGCACCCCTCCCCCACTGCCTTGTTGGCCTCTTGTGGCACCCCCTCCCCCACCCTGCTGGCTCTTCGTAGCACCCCTCCTCCACTGCTCAGCTGGCACCTCATTGCATCCCTCCCCTACCACCCTGCTGGCCCCTCATGGCATCCCTCCTTCACTGCTCTTCTAGCCCCTCATTGCACCCCTCCCCTACCACCCTGCTAGCCCCTCATTGCACC